ATACCATATGCAAAATCCATCCATCCACTGGATAATATCTTCAGCATGTCCTGGCTACACTCAGTAGGACATGCCAAAAACACCTCACTTAGGAGGCATTTTGATTCATTTCCTCTGTGTGAATCACCACCTTATCGTGGTGGAGGGGGGTTGTAGGCCCTAGGAGCTATGTTGTTGGGGCCGATCTGACCATGGTAGTATCTCCAATGGCAAATTTGTCCTGGTTTAGGCAGCAGATGAAGAGCCATTCAGAGAGGTCATTCTGGACACATGCTCAGGGTAGTAGTGAGCGTCTGGTGACTGTCCCTTAACCCATGGCGCCTAGCCAAGCTTAGTCCAAATTATGTACCTGGGTTCACCCTCCTGTGGGCCCACCACCCACAGGGGGAGCTGTGGGGGTTCAGTCCATTGTGATTTGAGCAACAGTCAGTCATCCTCATCCTCTAAAACTGTACATGTAATATAAGTAATATGCGATGCTAAATAAATAAAACCTAATTTCTAATCTGTGATAGGCATCTTACCACTCACATTACTTATTTATTGGAATAGCCATGACATTCATTGACTAAAGGGAGCCTTAATTAGTTGTTGTAAAATGCAATTATAAAGAGATTGAGCAGCTCTTAAGCAGAAATCATAATAGTTCAGTAATGGGTAACGTTTAACGTTTACTGACCTGATCTACTTTGTTGAGCCAGTCCTTGTTGGAGGCCAGCTCGGCCATGAAGGCTTGATGTTTCTGCCACTTGGTGTGCAGGTTCCTGGCCTCATCGTATGATGTGTCTTGCGCTGTCAGCATCTTTTCATTGATCCATACTGTCAACTGAAGCAAGAGTAAGAACATCTAAGATCCATGCAAAAATGCCCACTATACTCTGGAAAGTCATCTAAACATTAACTATTGATGTTTATGCAGAAGCAACTTTACACAAGCAGGATTTACTTCATTATCTTTACAAACACAGCATTTACCAATTAGTAAAATGGGACCTCAATTCTAAACATTAGGACAGGCAAAAGCACAGCGTTGGAATAAGCACAGCAGGATGCGCTTGGCAAATTAACTCAAATAATCACCAGATAAAAAGAGGAAAACACTGTGATGTCAAGTGCGAGTGAAGGAATAATTAAGCTAATAATTAATGTGCTAATTGATGTTTCCCAATGGCCAAATAAACTGTAAACTGACAGTGAACTTACATCTTGCGTGTTTTGCAGGAAGTGCTGCAGGTCACGGTTATCTCTGAGCTTCTCAGACACCTCCTCAGCTCTTCGTTTATTCTTGTCATGCCTGAAGTAAAGAAACACACACACAAAAACAGGAAAATGCATTAAACATACAGTATTTCTTTTCTCTAAGAAATCCCTCTGTGACACACTTCAAACAAGATGTAACTCACGTATCTACATGAGCTCCTCCTCCACCGAAAAAAACGGCTTCTCTGCTACACTGTGAAGAATACCTCTGACTTAACGATCAATATCCATTACTGCAGGTGCCCATCTACCAAGCTGAATTATGGGAGTTAATGGGAGTCGCTCCCATGCCCTCTATACACCGTCTTGTTGATGTCTTTTAATTGCTGATCTTAACAGATTAGACCAGTACCTGTGGTTATATTTTGAAAATAGGAAAATCCTTCGCATTATAATCCTGCTAAAATCCTGAATTTCACATTAGATTTTCGCTTAAGTATCCATTGCTTTTCTGTACTTGTATGACTTTTCAGACTGAGCTACATTCATTTAACATTCATAGTCACTAATTACTCTACAGATTAGGATTTTTAAATCATCATCAACTCCTTGATCCCTTCTAGAATTGCTGAAATCACGTGAAGCTCAAATACTATTATATCAAAACCCTATTTCTCCAATGCACTGCCCTTCTGTCAACACTTCACTTGAATGAATGCTGACCAAAAACCATGCTGACTGACCTTTCCTGGATCGAGCCCATTTTCTCCTGAACTTTCCCAGAGTACAGGTTATTGTTGTCCACCAGTCGCTGTCCGGCCTGCAGCGCTCCGTCAATTTTGTCCTCGTTGGCCTCCATGGTGCTCACAAAGTCTTCATGCTTCTTCAAAGCCTTCTCTGCCCCGGCCAACGTGTCAGGTTTGTCTATGTGGGCTAGAGTGTACTCCTGCAATAAATCAGAAATAATTGTATTGGGAAAAAATAACAAGAAAACAGAAAAATGCACGACCTTAAGAAAGGCTGTGTGTCAACACTGGGAGTTTGAACTGACCGTGTCCCATTCTTTCATATCACAAACTTTTAAATACTTGTAGGCTCACTAACCCTTCATTAGCAAGCCATCCCATGTGGTAACTGATGACTGTTCCACTTAAACACAACATTAAGACAAGCCATATTATTTATGCATTACCTGGTTGTTGAGGATCGCCTCTACTGCTTTGCCATCTCTCAAAAACTGCTGGAAGCCCAGAGCCTGGTCCAAAAAGTTCTTGCGGCTGTCCCACATTTTCTGGAGTTCAATCCAACCACGGTCCATGCCCTTTAGCCTCTGGTCGAGCTGTTGGTACTGAGGATCGTCCTCCTGACCCTGGGTAACCTGAGCGCCAGTGTCCCTCACACGGTGAAAGTCCTCTTCGTGGTTGTTTATGTCTTCACGCACAGCATCGTGAAGGCTCAGCTGCTCCTCAGCCTCTGGCAGCGTGGCGGGCATCTCCTCTGACGCAACAGCTTTCTGGGTCTTGAAAAGCCAGGACTGGAAGTCATCCATGTCTTGAAGGAAGGTCTGCAACTTGCTGACCTCACCCAAAGAGTCCTCTCTGTCTTTCAGGGTGTTTTTGAGCATGTCCCAGGCAGCGTCCAGCTTTCCTCTGCGGGCCAAAATGTCTGCTGCATTCTCCGGGTGGTCCTGGGCCAACTGGTCAGCTTCTTTCCGCAAGAAATTGAGCTTGTCGTCGATGGCGGCTAAATCTCTCTCTATACCGAAAAGTTTCCGCTGGATGGTCATAACAGCTGCCAGGTCATTGCCCAAGTCCTGCGTGGACTCAATCACCCGTGTCTTGTCTCTGATCCAGGCCTCTGTCTCATCACACTCCAGGCCGTAGTTGTGCAGACTAAGAGCAGAATCTACTTTCTTTTTCTTCTCCTCTACCATCGCCTTGAAAGCCTCCCATCTAGGAAACAATATTTTATATAACACAGGTTAATACTCCGTGGGTTACTGTTGTTATTAAAGTATCTTTGATAATGTTTAGTTATGGATGTGTGATTTCTTAAAATAAGGAAAGCTCATTTGTCTGTAGACAAATTTCTGCATGCCCATTTTTGCAGTGCTGTGCAGAGCTTGTTATAAACTAAAAATAGTTTCAAGTACTAAATTAAAGACTTCTTTTCGGAAATTTTGTTGAATGTCATCTTTGCATTAAAGTCATTTCAAAACCTTATACAGTATTAAAGCTTCAGATATGCATCTTTTTTGTTATTTGTCTCAGGTATAACTGTGAACTTCATTAACGACACCTCTTATTCAGTCGCGTCTGACATTCCTTGACTTCTTTGGTGCGAGGGTGTCTGCTGTCCTCGAGCTGTTTTGCCGCTCTGTTGACATCATCTACTCGCGACTGGAAATTTCCCATTTCTTGAGCTAAAATACTTAATCTGAAAACAAGAAAAGGTTGGTTAAAACAGCACCTGCACAATCTACTGGATAAAAATACATGATTAGTAGATGTAATGCTATTTGCAAAATATACACAGTTTTAATCAGACATGCAAATCTAATTCAGGAGTGATTAAATGCTTAAAATCTAATTTGTCTGTGCACCTGTTCTGTACTACTTCCAAATCCTCCAGCTTCTCAGGCACCTCTAAATCCACCAACCACGTCTCCTTCTGGCCCATCCACAGTTCACAGGCATCTGTCTCACTGAAGATGGTGTACAGAGCCATAGTGTCATCGAGCTTCTTCTGCCTCAGGTCAGCCAGGGACATGAGCTCCATGTAAAGGTCCTTGATGTCTTTCAGTCGTCTCTGGATATCTGGGGTGTTTTGCAGCTCCTCTGGTAGTGCGTTGGCCTGTTTGGACAGAGCATCAATAGTGGCTCCATTCTTGATGGCTTCGTTTTTCAAGTTGCCGTGCTTTTTCAGCAGCCGCTGAGTGGTGTACTCGTCGTGGCCGACGTCATCGCTGCTCATCTGCCTCTTAGCGTCCAGCAGCCAAGCCTTGAGTTCATCAGCATCTCCCTGAAACTGGAAGAATGTCTGCGTGTCCTGAAGGTTCTGTTTCCTAAATGCAGCCAGCTCTTCCAGCTGCTGCCACTGCTGCTTTAAGTCATCTTTGCATTCTTGAATCTTCGGGGAGCCAAAGTGTTTGGCCTCAATCATTTTATCTCCCTCAGCTAGGACCTGCTCAAGATGGGCACGGCGGGCTCCGAGCTCATCTTCAAAAGCGCTGTGTTTGCTTTGGAGAATCAGCACGCTCGTCAGGTCTTTGCCATAATCCAGGGAGGAGAAAATTTGCTCCTTCTCCCTGATCCAGCTCTCCAGCTCTGTTACCTCCCACAGGAAGTTCCAGAAGCGGCGAGACTGCTCCAGGCGAGCTCTTCGCTGGGCAGCTAGAGCACAAAGTTCCTGGTAGCACAAGTCCAGGTGCTGCACCCTGTCCCTGATCACCTGGGGATCACATGGCTTATAGCCTAAGGAGAGAGCGAATGACAACATAAGTGTCATCTATGTCTATGTGCATCTATTTCAGCTTGTAAGTACTAACACATATTGCATGCCACTGATATTTATTATACTGTGTCCAATCCATCTTATTGTCAAGTATATCTGAGGAGGATAAGAAGAAGAAGAAGATGCAGAGATGAAGAGTAAGAAGAAGAAGGTAAAGATGAAGAAGCATCATCAAGGTGAAGAAGAAGGAGAAAATTAGTGGTTGGGTATTATTTGAAATGATTACTTCATAAAAATACCTTCTGCACACTTTCTCATGTTACTTTTTAAATAGTTTTGGACTTACTATCTCCATTGGCAAATTTCAGAGCAGCAGCACTGGCATTCTCTACCCTCTCTGCCTGCAGAGCAATGTCATTCTCCAACAAAGCATGTTTCTGTAACAGGTCTTCCACTTCCAACAAGTGTTTCCCAAAGTCAGGAGAAAGCAGACGGTCCTGCAGAGGAAAAGAAGCAACTTAATTCACTTAAACTTTTCATTTTTACTTTCTTCCTTTTAAAATCTTTTGCTCTTACCTTCATCTCATCCATCCAGCTGATAATGTAGAGCATCTCCTGGAAGATCCTCTGCAAGGTCAGATTCTTATCCAAACGCCCCCTTCGAGCCTTCAGTAGGTCCTGCAAATAGTCCCAAAGACGCAGGACGTTGTCTTTTCTCACATCAATCCGTTTGGCATCATGATAACGCTCCGAATCCAACTCCTTTGAGATGTCCACCAAGGCCTGAACACGCTCCTCGTATGCAGCGATGTCCGTCTCAATAGCGTCATGCTTCTTTTTAGCCGCTTCCACCGCTGGCAGGTCATAGCCGAAGTTATCCTGAGGAGGAGAGAATGGAGGGTGCTAAATTATGGACAATTTTTTTTAACTAAAACTAACTAAAGACTTGTGGATTTAGACTGAAACTTCAGAACAAAAATCCACCATGTCACCCTACAAAACATTTCATAACAGCTTTAGTTCAGCTGCTGTCGGTTTACCTGAGCCACTAGTCTTTGGTTCTCCGCGAGCCAAGTCTCCCTCATGGCAGCCTTCCTGTCAAATCTTCTCGCCATCTGTTCCAGCTTCTCCTGTCTGATCAGCTCGTCTCTCAAGACACGCTCCCGCTCATGCTCCGCCCTTTCCAGACGCTCCCAAGCCTGCACATAGATGATGGGAATCATCATGAGGATTTGCAATCTGCGTTAGTCAGTCATCATAACAACTACAGCAATTTCATACTTTAAGATCAAAAAATGAGAAAGCTTTCCTCATTTTTAAAGAGTTTAAAAGTAAAGTTCAAGTTCAGAGCACCCCTCCTGGAGCTGGTACGCTTTAAGTATTATGTGTAATGACACTACAGGGTAGATATCTACTGATACGCCTAAGAAATCTTCAACTTAGTTCAAACCAAGCTGTGCTTTCCTTTCTGTCTTAAAGTTCTTTTTTAAATTTTCTTCAATAAAATGGCTTTTATGTTGTCATTTAGGATAATACACAACAGGCTTGCAGGGGTAATTAATTTCATTTGTGTTTTAATTGTTGCCTCGAGCATGAACTTAGCTAAATTAATAAACTCTGTCCACCCGAGCAACCCCAAACCACAAAGATAATCTTCCTATTACAGTTGATCTTCTGCATTCTGATTCTGGTTTGTCTCCAAATGGCATCCAGGCATCTCACCCTATTGATATCTGCAACCAGGGCTCCCTCTTTAGGTGTGTAAACTCTCTGGTTGTTGGCTCTCATTCGACTCTGGATGGTGAACAGCAGCACTTCGAGGTTACCTTTCTCCTGGAACCTGAGAGAAAACAAGAAATTAAGAAACTGGACAAAAAGTACTGCTGGACATCAGAGACTCAAAATGTGGTTTTAGTGTCAGGGTTACAGAGCTCCTGATCCAGTTTCCATTGTGACTGTAATGCGTTGAAGCTGTCACTGACTCACTTGGGTGGCTTCTCTACAGTGCGGTAGGTGTTGAAGGCCTGAAGCTGCTGCTGAACGCCGCTGAGAGAGTTTGCAAGTTTCCGGTTGTTCAGCACGACAATGGTCTGCTCGATCCACATCAACAGGTCTGACGACAGCGTCTCGTACTTTTCGATCATCTTCTCCGTCTCGATGGCTTGATCCAGAACCTGGAGAATAAATAAGATAAAGTAAGTGAACGGGGCAAACTCGCATAAAAAATGCACACCACCCTTCCAACTCACCTTTCCTATTCTCTTGCCCTCAACAGCGAGTTGTTTCATCTTGGAGAAGTAGTGGTAAAATGCCACGACGTAAGTGATGATGGACTTCTCATCTGGGTTCTCTGTGAAAACATCTATAAAAGAAAATGGAAAACAAGTCAAATAAGTCATTCCCAGCCAAACCAGAGACTATCACTCGTCTCCTTTCCAGGAAGCACAATGTTCACAGTCACTCGCCTTCTGGGTCTAACAATTTGGTCACACCAAGCTTCTGCTCTGCAACGTTGAAGGCGTTCTGGAGATTGTGGGTCGGATTGGATCTCTTTAAACTGTTATAGTCAACCAGATCAGGGCTGGGAGAGAAATATAGAGGGTAAGAGAGTATATTGCAGAGAGAGAGAGAACGAGCAGACGGATTTCATGTGTGTTTACACTTTAAAGCTGGAGAGAGTGGCTTTGTTATTCATCTCCCCTTACCGATGTTTGTGTATGAGAGCATTGAAGGCCATGCCATCTTTCCAGCTGGTGGTGAAGTTTGTGATGTTGATGCTGGGATATCTGTAAAACAGTGAGGAGACGTCACGGACTGAACAGGAGGAGGCTGCTGTTTAAAATCAGCATCTGGGTTTCGTCCCACTTCTCAAGCTTTTAGTTCTGCAGTTTAAAAGCCTTGAAGGAAATGGTGTGCGTTCTCAGAACGGCAGCATCTATTTACTCAAAAGATCACACTTTTTCTTAAGGATCTTGTCAGACATAGCGAGAATAACAGCTATATGCTAATAATAGCTGGATGCTAATAACCATACTTCAAATGAACATCTTTTGGGAGATGCATTTGTTTTAAAGAGACTGCTCCCACTCGTGCCTCCACACCAAAAATGAAGACAGACACTGATTTGCTTAGTTTGTAAGTCGCGGAAGAAGAAAAGAGCTATCTGAGAACAAAGGTAGCAAAATCTGTCTACAGTGTCTTTTATACCATCTCTGTTAACTAGGCAGGGGGGATTTTGTTAACTTCTGCCATGTTGGGTTTCCTTTTTCCGCATCTACTAGTTGGTATAGACATGATTAGAGTTATCAGTCTACTCATAAAACAAACATTTAATGAGTATATCCAAAAACATCAAACTACTCCTATGAGAAATATTATTTATGGCTTAATTTAAAAAAAAAAAAAAAAAAGGAACTCTACACAGCAGCACATTTATCTACTTAAGGTACTACTTGGTTTATTTTATTTTAAATATTCAAGGAGCAAACAGAGACCTTCATATTTGGTCATTTATTTAAATTTTGGCTGTAATTATTTTTTCCACTGCTATAAAAAGAAGACTTTACATTTTCACTGTGCAGATGGGACATTACAATGAACATTATATTAAAAATTGAAAGCATTTGTAATTGTGCTTACTTATGTCAAACACTTTTTAACCGTAAAAAATTAAACAAGAAAATCGTGGCTTATTTTTTCAGCTTTAAAGACTCTTAAGGACACTTTATGTGTCAGTTGTGAAATTAAAAAAAAGATATGGGGAATTGTAAGATTTTAAACTAATAAAAAGTCAGAAGCACATTGAGTTATTCCCAAAGGATAGTTGCAATAGTTTGATGATGCCAGGAGTCACATGTAGCTCTTACCCTGCAGTTTTCATCTGACACCAAAGAAGAAGAGCATCCTTGGCTGAGCGTGTCTCCTTCTGGTCCGCCTGGCCCGTTTCCACAATGATGTCCTGGATCTGAGAACAGCAACAAGCACAGCTGGATGGTAAATAATGAAACTTAACTAATGTGTCATGTTTGCAATCAAACAAGAACAAACAAGAAATCTGACTAATATTAATATCTTGCTAATGGGTTGCACCAGAAGGGAACAGTTTGTCAAAGTGGCACAAATATCACTGTGAAATGCATCATTTATCACAGCTTTAAGAAAAAAAACAAAAAGGGGTGGGGGGGGGTATTTGTGGAAAAGAAAAAAAATAACTTAAAGTCATACATCATCAGTGTTGCTGGCTGGATTCTCACAAAACTAGACATCAGATCCAACTGACAGAAAGAGGAGTGGTAATAATCGAAGTTTTTATTTTCCCACACAGTGGGCCAGTAATTAGAGCAGTGATGTGATCTGAGAGACAGGCCCTGAGAGAGGGGCGGCTAAATTTAGCCAGCTTTGGTTCTCCTTGGTTTATGCAGACTTTAAGATACAGACAGGACCGAGTCAACTCTTTTCTTTTCTGTTTCCTGTTCTTTTTTTTTTTTTGTCCTTTTGAAAAGGCTGAATAATGCAGCGGGCTATATTGTTTGAAGTAACATCTCTAAAAATAGCAGAGTTGCTGTCAAATTAAAAATAAATATACAGCCTCTCCAAGATGATAAAAGAGTCAAACAGACATGTTCTGATGCTTTGGATGTTCCTGTAGCAGCAGATAATAATGGCTGGAACCTGAAGGCATGGTTCTGAGGAAAAACAGACACTAACAAAAAATAAATAAATAACACTGCAAGGCAGCCAGCTGAAACTATCTGAGGCTGTCTGTATAACGCTGCATGCTGTATATGCTGTACACCCTGGCTTCACTTCAGTGCAAATGTAAATGTGATTAGAATGTAATTAAGATTCATTTAAATAAAAGAGGCTGCATGCTGTTAGTCAGTGGTAGCATAATTAGAGTATAGCATATGAAGTACAATAACATACTTGAAGTGATTGTGCTACTTATAAGATCAGCTAATCAGGTTTGATGAACCTTTAACATGCATGCTGAAAAAACATGAATATTACGTGATCGCTGAAGTGTAATTCAAATTTTTTTTACATATAATAACATAAAATAATGATATTTTTATGATGTTATTATATGAATTACCTTTCTGTCGTATAGTATACATATTAATGACACTAGTATTTTATATATATGAATATATAATAATTGCTGCCTTTTTTTGCATTCTCTGTCAAAATGATCCCACACTGCTTCAAAAATATTAAAGTCAAGATTCTGGGGAAGCCAATCCATGACTGAGTGTGTTCGAAAATGTATTTTCTGGCATTTTATGGAGGATCCAAATCTGACCAAATTTTTCTGTGTTCATAATTCCATCTGTTTAGACAAGACCGAGAGTCCATAACACCTGTTATCACTGATTTTTAGTCCAGTTCTTGTGTTTCCAGCTTTGATTTTCCTCAGATGTTTAAGAGACACACTGCACACCATGCTGAGATATGACTGATAGCGCTTTGGGAATCATCTCGGTGGCACAAAAAAATATTTTATGCCTGTCAGTCTGTATTATCAGTGGCATTGCCCGTGGATTCAACTAAAGAAATGAGAAGCATTTATATGCTTTTGTGATAAGCTGTGTTTACATTTACAAAGAATTGGTCTCTGTTTTCCTTTTCTTTTTCTTTAATCTCAATGTACACAGAAAGAATAGTCTAAAACAACATGACACAGACAATCACATGTCCTAGGTTTACCTGGAAACGCAAAATGATGGTCCAAATGAGTCCGAGGATGAGGCGATGGTTGCCGTCAACAATGTCATGGGAACCCATGTTCTCCAGGTGGACCCTTTGCTCTTTGAGGAACTGAAGAGCCTTGTCCACATTTTCCAAACAGTGGATACGCATCCTGCCTTTCGTTGGTTTGGGCTATAAAGACCAGAACAAAAAAAACGATTTTAGGAGAACATTTCAAAGAAAAATGAATGACTACAAGAGAGTTTTGAGTAATATACAGAATATAAAGAGGAATATAAACTGAAACAGAAATGTTTCTTACCAGTCGTTCACCAGACAGCACTTCCAGCAGTTTAATGAGCATGCGTCCATCCCGCAGGTCCAGGTAGAGGTCAGAGATGCGACAGCCAACCCGGGACAGAATTGAGTTGACCCATTTAGTGAAGGTCTTCTTCTGAACCGCCTCTCGCTCGTCTGATGAGAGCACAAAGTTAAGAAAGAACATGAGCCCCATGAATAATGCAAAATCCTCAGAGCTACAGAGGAGCAGCGCTGGAGCTGGTAGGGATTTACAGTCTTGCACGAGGGCACGTTAGACGAGTGGAAGCCTGGGAGGCTGAAGGAAGAACCTGGCAGGAGTTACAGAACATCTGCAAATCTGCTCCAGAGCCACAGAAATCATGCAAGTTAAATTAATTCTTAGTACAGGGTAAAGCAAAGGTGTATACTTCTGCTTCACTGCTGCTAAAAAACATGAAGTTAGCGTTGTCTGCAGCCAGCATCCACTCAAATTGTTTCCACTTGCTAAATTCATCTCAGCTAATAATATTGTTTCACGCCGTACATCAAATCTGCCTCCAGGAAAAATTATTACTTCAACAGCATAAATGAATATAAGACAATGAGACATTTAAATGAACTTCAACCCCTTCCAAATATTGGAAACACCACCAGACCTAAATTCCATAGAAAACCATTGCAGTTTATTAAAAAGAACTATTCTACTTCCCCCTAATTTATATTCCTTCACCAACTTTACTGTATTTTAATTAAATGTGATTGGCAGACAGAATTAAAAGACCGATCAACCGGGTGCAAAACACTGTGAGCACCAACAAGAAATGTCACTTCAAAGGAAGAATCAGGCTCTGGGCCTCCAGGCCTGTGACCCATATGCCGGTTCAGTAATCCATCAATATCCACCTAACAGAATCTTCATTAAACAATCAATCTCGTCAGCATGCTGCCCTTCTGGAGAAGACCTCCTCTGTATGACACAGCCAATTTTAAAGGGCCCATTAAGGGGATAAGGTCCCATTATCCCCACTGTATTTGTACAGTGCATCTATTTTATTAGAATCCGAACAGCATGCCAATCAAACCATCCATCAAGCCTCTTAAAATGCTGAAAAATCTCAAAATCTGGCAGTTGTGACCTTTTACCTGATTATGGAGCAGATATTAGCGGTCACTTCCGCTTAAACTGGTAAATAGCATGACTGCTCATATGTCTTCATGATTTTTTATATAATGGAGGCTTGGTGTCTGCTCACAAGGGAAAAGCTTTACTGTAACTATCAATGCCTCCTCAGACATGATGCAGCGTATTTATGCCACGTGTTGTAATTTTGTTAAAAATGCTCCACGGGAGATTTGCACGAGAGCTCGGCAATGGCAAGGCAGAAAGATGAAGATAGCATGAGCATCGCACACTGAGAGGTTTTTGGGAGGATGAGCGCTGCCCACATGGTGACACATCACGCTCACGCAGACACGCGCGTCATATTAAAATGTACGGAAGATATTCCTCCTACTCAGCAGCAAAAATAAAACCAATTTTGATGGGACCATATGGCAGAAAGACCCAATGTACTACACTCTGTTTATTTTATTTGTGGCCAAATGCACAGTGAATGGAGATGTGGGAGGTCTGAGTGGGTGTATTGCTATAAATGGGGATTCGGTGTGTTTCTATAAGACCTACTTTAATGACCTAAATATGACATATTACAGTGTTTTTTTTACATATTCATTACATCTTTCAGTGTTATTTATAAAACCAACCAACTAAGCAAAATGTAGAAGCAGTGTATTAAAGTACAGTACACGCACCATGATTCAGTAGCTTGTATAACCACCTTTATCAACATTAACATGAAGTAATCATTTTCTGCATAACTTTGTAAGTCTCTCACATCATTTTAGAGAATTTTTAGCCAGTAATTCTTTACAATTTTGCTTCAGTTCATTCACTTTTGCACACAGACAGTATAAAAATAGATGTGGCCTCTGGGTCAGAAAAATGAAGCCAATGTTAAAGTGCCTTCTGCCTTCTGCATTCTGTCTGAAAGCCCCTAGATGGCAATGGTTGTGGTTGCAAAAAGATTAGTGGTCCTATGCAAGTCTATGGGAAAGGGGCTTTCTGTCGTGACCTCTGAGAACACTTTTCTGCCGACTTTACCGACTCAGTCACTCGTTTTAGGCCATACTAAATAAAAATAAAGTCTAATTTGTAAATTTTAGTCATACTGTGCCATGTTTAAAATGAATGATCTGTGGTATGAAACCACCATTGGCTAACAAGTTATCAGTCACGTGTCATTACCCATAAGTCACAATCTGTACTTTCTCATCACATCTATTTTTTTCCAACCAAAACGATGATGGCGGAAATCCTCAACTCAAGGCTTCTGAAATATGGCCGAAATTACTCTTATACACTATGTGGGGTTGCAGGCATTTGTTTATGCATGTGTCTCTTAAGAGCCCACTACAGCATATCAATCAGGTTGAGGTCTGGACTTTAACTGAGTCACTGCAGCATCTTGATTGTTTTTTCCTTTTTCAGCCATTCTGCTGTAGATTTGCTGCTGTGATCGGGATCTTTGTCCTGTTGCATGATTCAGTTTGGAGCAAGCTTTAGCAGTCGGACATATGTCCTCACATGTGAGACTAGAATACTTTGTTATACAGAGGATTTCATTGTTGACTCAAGGACTGGAAGGTGCCCAGTATCACCCCTTCATCACCGTGCTTGACAGTTGGTATGAGGTGTTTGTTGTCATTAGGCTGTGTTTGGTTTTGTGCATTATGGCAGACATCTCCATGGTGGTCTTGTCTATCCAAAGGGCATTGTTCCAGACGTCTTCTACTTTGTTCACTTGTAATTTCGCAAAACTAAGCTTTGCTGGCACGTTCTTTTTTTATTTCTGGCAACTCTTCCAAACAGCCCTTCAGGTTATTTACTTGAAGATTTAGACAAATCTGATATGTAGCTTTAATTATTGTTGCAGTTCCTCTGAGCACTGGTTAAGAAAGAAGATGAATAACTGTTAATAAGTCACTGATATCAGTACCAGACAATGAAAAATTAAAACTAAGATAAGGATAAACTGACAAAAATGTTAGCAGTTATTACTCCATGAAAAATAACCTGAATCAGAAACATTTGTACAAATTACTTTGCAGCAGGTAATCCATTCACAGTATAACCAAATACAACAAAGATTAAATGGATGTTCAGTGCATGAAATTATTTCAGCTATTGAGAATTTTATTATTTAAAAAAATGGTCAAATTCTGCGAGAGTAAAAACCCCAGAGTCAAGTCAATTTAAAATTAAATCTTGCTTGGCATCACAATAGAAGTTTGTAAAAGGATAAATTGATTTAACACAGAGGATTTAATTGAAGCTCAGAGACCTGGTACACTAATTTACACTGGATCAAGTAAAGCAGAAAGGTGATGCTTTTTGATTATACTGACCTTGATTTTACTCACAACTCAGTACAAATCCCCACCTCTCCCCTGCTTTTGTTTTATCCCACACATAGCTTCCTAAACTTTAGCTCAGTGATGAGACATTCTCTCCTCAAGTCATCCCAGCTTGCACCACATGACTTCCCTTTGGCATGCCTGCTGCAGATCGCCCCGTTTATTCCCGAACCCGAATACAGCTGCAAACCACGGAGTGCAAAGGACTGCATCCTTAAGGACTGGTGTAATAAATGATTCAAACACTGAGGTTGTCGAGAACAAGTAAAGAACAGCTCAAGAAGAGGAACAAAAGAAGAGGTAGTAGAGGGAAGTTGTTAAAGATATTGATTTAAAGGTTAAGAAGGACATAGAGGGGGGAGACGGGGAGTCTGCTAGGTAAACCTGTCAAGAGGACGAAAGGAAAAAGAGGGTGAGTCAGATCTGAAAGAAAGTAATGGGGAGAGTGACTGCAGTGTTAGGTTTAGTCCAAAGAGACCCATCCAGGAGAAGAGACCAAGACACATCACCAGCAGCATCGTTCCTACTTTTAAAAACCGCCCAGTGAGCAACTTTGAAGCAGCAGCTCGGTCTTTAGCATATCAAAGAGAAGAAATCAGGCGTTATTGTACGTAAAACACAAGGTGCAGCGGAGCACTGTAAATAAATCATGCTTCATTCTGCTCCCTTCAGCAGAACAACAGCACACACTGCTCGGCTACATCCACATGGATAACTGCGCCATGAAAAAGTAATGACAATTAAAACATGCAAAGCTCCATTAGTGGTGTCAGTGTTGATTTAGCACAAATGGTCACATCATTATCTGTCAGCAGCACAGAAAGCAGAGACACACGCACAAAAAGGCTCGAATAAAAATAAAAACTGTAACAAATCCTTTCTGAACTATTTGGAGTGCTGCCTCCAGAGGGTTTTAGAGAGGAGAGGACAATTACAGTGCATCCCTGCGACGTGCACAGAGTTTTGCCGTATCACTTCACATCGGGAGACCTTGAGAGGGGACGCAGCCCACATGGATGCTCCCGGCCATTTAGGAAGCATGGGAGGACAACGGGGGAGGGAAGATAGGAGGGGAGAGTGTGTGAGGGAGGGAAGCTGTTGTTTGCATGCACCCCACTGAGCTGTCTCCAGATGAACAGTTCAACAAGCTCAATATGACACAAGTGCTCTGTAAAAATAAAAAAAGCCTTCGGCCCTCTTTGGGAAACTAAGTTCTGTTTAATCCCATAAACTCAGTTATGGGTTTTTAGAGCAGCAGAAAATTATCATTTTAACCTGATTACTGACTCATGATCTGGTTACATCTGTGATTTTAATATTCGAGTATTGATATACTTATAAGAGTTTCTCTTTGCTGGTCTCAGAGTCGATTTACAATGTAATAAAAATTTGGAGCTTTTGCATTTATATCACAGAAAGTGTGCGTAGCAAATTACAGTGAACAAAAAAAGAAAGAAAAAAATCAATCACATCAATTAAAAGTAATGAGATATCTATTGCAGATCCAATTAAAATTAATAGAGCCCTCTGGACATTTCACAGTCCCACAGTTGTTGAGTGGTTAACTAGAATTTACATTTCAGATGAAGACAAAAAGGACACCTGGGGTCAAAAATTACTAAGGAAGAAATTTAAAGTGTAACTGAGGGTATGAAATCTGGAGGGTGACTAAGACCAGATAGCTGTATAATAATAACAAT